AAAGAGTATTCTTTTGTTTCTCTGTGCACAACTTTTCTTGTTGCTATTTTAAAATCATAGTGGTTTCATATAATATTTGTCCTTCTGTGATTGACTTATTTCATGCAGCATGTTAAGTTGTTAGCGTTGACCAGTGAGTTCCAACTCATAGTGACCCTGCATAAGGTTTCTAGGGCTATGAATCTTTACAGGAGCAGAAAGCCTTGTTTTTCTTCTGTGGAGTGGCTGGTTCACAGTCCGGTGCTTATCCCACAGTACCACCAGTGCCCCTCACTCAGTGTAATGTCCTCCAAACCCATGCATGTTGTGAGTTGTTTCACAGATCCGTGGCTATTCTTCACTGTTACATAGTGTTTCAGCATACAGGCACCACGTTGTTCATCCTACCACCTGTTGCTGGGTAATTAGGTTGTCTCCATGGCTTGGCTACAGTGAATAATGTGGCATGATTTGTGTCACGAGTCTTATTTTCTAGGTTGTACACATATGTCTAGTGTGGGGCTGTGAGCTAATGCATCAGACTACAAAGTCGTCTGAACTGCAAGGTCGGTGGTTCAAGCTCCTAGGAAATCCTTTACAGGGTCACTATGGGCCGGAATCGACTCAATGGCACTTAACAACAACAACAACAACCTATATATGCCTGGAGTCCTGGTGTGGCATGGTGGGATAATGTCCTTCACCTTCAAGCCTAGAAGCTTTGTCCTGCTACGTATTTGTTTCCATGACTGTGACTCTCATGTGCTCTATTATCTCTATTAACATACATGTAGCACCTACAATTATGGATGCTTCACTATCTCCATTAATATACATGTAGCACCTACAATCATGTACTCCAAGGTCAGTTCGAACCGCAAGGCCAGTGGTTCAAGTTCAGCAGCCGCTCCTCAGAAACATTGTACAGAGTCGCAATGAGTCAAACCCGACTCAATAGCACTTAACAACACACATATACTTAGCAGTTGGGTTGCCAGATCACATGATATTTCTATATCTAGCTTTTTAAGGAAACAACATACTGTTTCCATAGTGGCTGTGCCATGTATAGTCCCACCAGCAGTGTATGAGTTCTGTTGCTCAGTCTCCCCACAACCTCTTTTTATTTATTTATTTTAAATTAGTGCCATTATTGTTGGGGGAGTTGGAATCTCAATGTAGTTTTGATTTGTGCATAAGGTCGCTATAATTCAGTACCAACTCAATGGCACCTTACAACAATGAGTCCAAACCGACTCAAAGGCACTTAACAACAACAACAATGGGAGTCTGTAGGTTCAGCACTGAACTACAAACCACAAGGCCAGCAGTTCAAACCCACCAGCTGCTCCTCAGAAACCCTATTCAGGGTCGCTATGTGTCAGAATCGACTCGACAGCACTTAACAACAACAACAATGGCTAATGATTGCAAGCATTTCTTCATGCGTTTTTTAGCTGCCTGAACATCTTCTCTGGTGAAGTGTCTATTCACATCCTTTGCCTATTTTAAAATTGAATTGTGTTTTTGTCGCTGAGGTGCTGAAATTTCCCACAAATTTTACAGCTCAGACCCTTGTCAGAAATGTCATAACCCCCACTTTTTCCATTCTGTAGGCTCCGTTGTGGCGCTGTACAGTAAGCACTCAGCCACAAGGTCGGTTTGAACCACAGGGTCACTGGGTCAGACTCACCAGCCCCTCCTCGGAAACCCTGTACACGGTGGCTATGAGTCGGATCCAACTCGATGGTACTTAGTAACAACAACAGCCGGCTCTCTTTAACTCTCTTGGAGAAGCCTTTTCAGGAGGTCACATTCATCTTCTACTATCTGCGCACTTTTACTTATTTCTAGTATTCTATTTAAGGAGCTCTGGTAGCTCCGCAGGAAGCCTCCTTCACTGGGCACGTTGTAGCCCCATTTTAGGTATTCCAATCAGTTATAGGCAGAAGACGGACTTACAAGCTTTCTATGGTGATGCTTTTCGCTATTCCTTTCTCTCCCCCTCCAGTGTCTATTTTATAATATAATGCAAGGAAAACCAAGATTCAAAAGACAGCCAAGCATCTTAATATTATTCCCCCCTTTTCCACATTCCAACCATTGCTCAATCTCTGTATCCCAGAACCCTGTTGTTCCCAAATTGTGCATATATCTTTATTTATCTCTGTCTCACTTAGCCCATTGAGATCTCATTGTTCTCCCATCTGCTTTGTTCTTCCATTCCCCTCTTCCTACTTGTATATTGCCCCCTCCCTAGCACCCAAACTATCCAGTGTCTAATCCCTGCCCTGTGCTCCACCTTCCCCTCCCTCCCCTCACCTACCCCCAACATCCCAATAATCACATGTATAATGTTCTTGATGTCATCCCACAACTCCTCTGGTCTTCGGTCTTTAGTGTTTAATGTATCAAATCTGTTATTCAGATGATCTCTAAATTCAGGTGGGATATATTCAAGGTCATATTTTGGCTCTCGTGGACTTGTTTTCATTTTCTTCAGCTTCAGATTGAATTTGTGTATGAGCAATTGATGGTCTCTTCCACAATCTGCCCCTAGCCTTGTTTTGACTGATGATATGGAGCGTTTTCATTATATCTTTCCGCAGATGTAGTCAATTTGATTTCTACGTATTCCATCAGGTGAGGTCCATGTATATAATCATTATTAATCTGTCTAAAGAAGGTATTTGAAATGAACAATTTACTGATTTTGCAGAATTCTATCATGCGATCTCCAGCATCATTTCTATCACCAAGGCCCTACTGATCCCTCCTCTTTGTTCCCAGCCTTTGCATTCCAATCACCAGTAATGATCAATACATCTTGATTGCATGTTTGGTCGATTTCAGACTGAAGAAGATGGTAGAATTCTTCTATTTCATCCTCACTGGCTTCAGTGGTTGGTGTGTAAATTTGAATAATAGTGGAATTAACTGGGCTTCCCTGTTGGCGCATGGATATTATCCTATCACAGACAATGTTGTGGCTCATGACTGAGCTAGATATGTTCTTTTGACAATAAATGCAACACCATTCCTCTTCAATTTGTCATTCCCGTCACAGTAAACCATGTGGCTGTCAGATTCAAAATGGCCAATACCAGTCCATTTTAGATCACTAAAGCCTAAGACATCGATGTTTATGCATTTCATTTTTGACAACTTCCAATTTTCCTAGATTCATACGTCATACATTCCATGTTCCAACTATTAATGGATGTTTACAGCTGTTTCTCTTCATTTTGAGTTGTGCCACATCAGCAAATGAAGGTCCTGCGGGCTTTTCTTCCATGGGCTTTACTCCATTTGCATCTTCATGGTCAACTCTACTTTGAGGAGGCAGCTCTTCCCCAGTCGCATTTTGAGTGCCTTCCAACCTGACGGGCTCATTTTCCAGCACTATATCTGACAGTGTTTCTCTGCTATCATAAGATTTTCAGTTATTAAATATTCTAAAGTAGTTTGTCACTCCTTCCTAGTCTGTCCTCATTTGGAAGCGCATCTGAAACCTGTCCATCATGGGTGACCCTGCTGGTATTTAAATACCGGTGGCATAGCTTCCAGAATCACAGCAACTCACAAGCCACCACAGTGGGACAAACTGACAGACTGACTAAGGGGTGGGAAGAACACCCCTTAGTAGTTTCTTTCAGTGTTGTTGCAATTTACTGTTTTGTGGAAATGTACTTCAAAACTTCCTTCTTCAAAGATTCCCACTAGACATGGAATTCTAGGTTGGCAGTTATTTTTGTTCAGCCCCACAGTGCCCACCAGGGAGGCTCCTTAGGCCCAGCTACACTCCTGGCATCAGACTCCGGAGGAGCGCAAGTGTCCCCAGGCAGTGCTCCTCTGCCCCTCCCGTAGGCACACCTGAAGCAGGTGATGAGACACAAGCACTGCAGCAGGTAAGCACTGGCTTGTTTTATACCGCATGGAAGTCCATCTGTCTCTCTTTTTTTTAAGATTTAATTTGTTGTTGTTGAGAATACACACTACACCAATCCCACAGTTTCTACGTGCACACTGCAGGGACATCAATGACATTCTTTGAGTGACACAACCGTTCTCAACCTTCCTTTCCGAGTTGTTCTTCCCCCATGCACGTAAACTCACTGCTGTTAAGGCTCCGGATTTTCTAATTGCTGTTCTAATTTTCTAGTTGCTCTTGTCAGTTTGATCCCATCAAGAGCACAAAGGCTCCAGGCAGACATTCTTTACTAGTGAAGCTAAACCAGGATTTGGTTTGAAGAAGACTTCAAGGCCATGTATGTGGTTTAAGGGTTAAAGCTGATCTCGGGGCAATAGTTTCACGGGGAGGGGTCAATGTCTTTTGCTTCATATCCATAGCCATAGTTTTCAGGGTACCTTTGAAAGGCGTGTCTAGCCAAAGTACAACTAAAAGCTCAAATTACAATTTGGTTTGTAAGCAGGTACCCAGGGTTCATACATGTACCTCCCAGCCCTGCTTCAGTTTGCTAGGGGAGGATCTTTTAGGACTACTAAAGCTACCTAGCAATGCAGCTGAGGTTCCCTTAGCTAGTTGGACTATTGATCAACCAAATGTCAAGTTCTCATGAAGGAGAAGTGGTTTCATGAACTCTGACTGCATATTCAGCAGAAATATTGATTCTTTTCTGCTTTTTACTGTTTCACTCTCCAGGTTTCATGATGTGGGCCCCAAATTCCTGGATCTTGACCCCAAAACACTCCATGGTCACATTCCTGCTCAATCTCACACTCGCACACTCTCTTTCATACCTTGTTCACATTTGTTAGTTGCCTTCGGTAGAAGGGTTGGTTCCACTTATCACTGCTGCTGGGTGTAGAACTGGGACTCCAGCTTTAGTTCTTGATGTTTCAGATTAGATCAAGGGAACATACAACACAGAGTTTGCACACACTCACACTAAGACAATCACATTTACAAAACCCAAAACAAAAAGCTCCTTGGGAGAAAAAAAGTCATAAAACATTTCCATCAAAAAACTTTACCTTGGCAGTGGGGCCGATGAGGGAGTCATTCCATAGTCCTCATACCTCTGGAAGAAAAGAAGATTAATATTTAATTCTTATTATAAAGTGACAACAGCAAAATTACCAGTTTAAGTTTGCAGGATCAACTGTCAAGAGAATTATTTTCTCATAAAAAATAAGGAGTCTAGCATGAAGTAATACTAGAAGTTTCACTTCGGGAAACAGGACTATTAGGATTTAGGGAAAAACAGAATGTACAGACCTGTCGATCGTTTGCATAACGTACCTAAAAAGATGACTAGCAAGCAGGTTTTCTGTGCCTGCCCTTACCTACTGCCTGGTTGTCTACAAACCTGGGTCTCTGCTTAAAGGGACGGCCTAGTAGCCATGTTTAGTACAAGTATACTAGTCCCTGTAATTCAAATCTATACAAGAAACTCCACTCAGACACTAACGTGTTACGTTACGTTGTAGAAAGAGAACCCAAAACCAGAGCGATCCTTAGAGGGACGTCAGCACCCTCCATTTCTGACACTTTTCTGGTTCCAAAGAGACCCAGCCCTATTTCCTACTCCAAGTCCCATGAGCTGTCCTTTATCCTTCCATCAACTCTGGGTACATGAATGAGCCAGTCTGAGTGTATTTCTATTCGCGGGTTGGCAAAATGGCATAAGGTTTAATGTAACACACGTCTAAAAGCCTGTTGCATTCTTCATGAATTCCAACGTATTCTAGCCCTAACTTACATGAGATTCCTATTTCAGCATCTCCTTTGCCAACTCTGAACTGTTACCGTGGAGCCAGGTACACTGGGAACAGGAACTCTGGGGCAAGACCATCAATCAAGCTCCGTCTGGATTGAACCAGCTGGGTGTCCCGCAGGACCGGCTCTGAGGTAAGTTCAATGTCAGACTTGTTTCTGGACCTGCGCTAAACATCAGCTCTTTCTTTTTTAAAACTTTCATTGGTTGAATCAGTATTTTGTACTCACCACTGAATGTGCATTAACTCTGTCCGACACACGAGAACATTCTAAAGCATGATTTACAACCTCTGATTTGTAGATGAAACCAACAGACAAAGAGGTCACTTCCTCTTAGTGGGTCTGCCTCCAAAGACCATGATGCTACCATGCTCTGTACCCTGTCCCGGTTCCCAACACCAGACTTTTCTGAGGAAATCGCCACTGTGTGTGTGGGGGGGGAGCACATGCTTTGTAGTCAGACACTAACGAAGCTACTTTATATCCCAGGACTCAAGAAGGATACAGTGCTCAATACCTCAGAGTGTTCTGAAAGGATTATCAGATATGAAACTTGTGTCTGGTTACTTCACCATGTGCCCGGCCCTGCTCCCATCCTCGTGGCTGAGGGAGAGATGAGGGCCTCGTAGGACTCCTTCACTTTAGTCAAATACACTGACAGGGATCCCAGAAGGCGGGATGGGGTAATGAGAGGAAAAGAAACTTGGAGGTTTTTTCCAAATAAGAAAAAGGAAATTTGAGACCAGATAGATTATTCATGATGAGGTTTGTGTTTTCAGCACCATTTGGATTATTCTATCAATCTATCACTACAAATCCCTTCTTAGTGCACTCCTTCTGTCTGGTCAACACAGAGCCAGACTGCTGGGGGAGCCTGGAGATCTGTCTGCAGAGAAGCAACCAGACAGAAAAGTTCTATTTGTAATGCTTCTTAACTCAGGTGTCCATACCTGCTCCTGAGAAGCCCAGTCCACAGCACATAAAACCATACCCCAGAAAGCAGGACTATAACCCACCAAGGACCTGACTCACTACTGCACAACCAACACCCTTAAGCTGGCCAAAAAAGGAGCATGAATGTCAACAGATGGTAAATAGAAGCCCGTGGAAACTGAAGGCACCTTGAAAGCCCACATTCCTGTGGCTCTCCTGCAGTGAGAGGAAGCCAATAAGGCTGACAGATTGCTCCTGGCAACGGAAGCATTGACATAGCATTAGATAAGGCCACAAACACAGGTTCTGGCCCGTTCAGCACCAGGAGACACCACTGAAAACCAGTGCTTACTAAAACTCCCTGTGGATTTGAATTTTAAGTTACAAGGGTGGTTGTTGTACACCAGCGAGTCAGTTTCAAATGATAGTGTCCTGATGATATAGTGAGTTATACACCGTGCTGGTAACCACAGGGTCAGCAATTCAAATCCACCAGCCATTCCACAGGACAAAGATGTAGCTTTCTGCTAACTGTAAAGATTTATAGCCTCAGAAACTCTCTTCAGGGTTGCTATGAGTCAGACAGACTCCACAGCACACAACCACCACCTCAGGACAGAGTAGATGGCTCCGTAGGGTCCGAGGTTCTCATCTTTATGGAAGCAGATCGCCAGGTCTTTCTCCTGTGGAGCGCTGGGTGGATTTGAACTGCTGACCCTTTGGCTAGCAGTTGAGCGTTTAACCACTGTATCACCAAGGCTTGTTAAATTGGAAGATAAGAACATGCTCACAGAATCTTTCATCCCCAACACCTATGACAAACGAATAAAAACAAGTAAGTTTTTAATAATGAATGAGTAAAAACAAATCATTAAGAGAGCTACACTAATCTGTCAAAGATGACTGTTAAAATTACTAGCTCATCAATATATGGCAAAAATGTGGAGCATCCGGCACGCGCTCACTCACTGCTATGAGTCAGAACCGCTCCGTGGGAGAAAAAGGAGGCTATCTGCTCCCATAAAGATTTACAGCCTCAGAAATCCTATACAGATAGGGTTGCTCTGAATAAGGAACCAACTCGACTAATAAGCGCTCCAGTCGTGAGTATTCTGTGTTCTGTGTGGCCACTGCAGTGATTACTGAACCCAGATGTGAAGCAGAGTGCACTGGGGGAAGGAGGGAGGGTTGGTGTCAGAACAGGGTAAGGAAGATTGTAGGGTGGAAGCATGTTTGACTCCACTTCACAGGAAGGGGCCTTCGGCTGATTTGAGATAGATTATTTTCCCCTCTTGCAGGCCAGGGGAAGTCAGACGTGGCTCCCACATGGTTTTAACACCTTTTTTTCCAGTTGTTTTCAAGTCCATTCTAACTGACAACACCTCCGTGTGTCAGAAGTGTGCTCCACAGTTTTGTCGATGATTGATTTTTCGGAAGTAGATCACCAGGACTTTCTTCCATGGTGCCTCTGGGTAGATTTGAACCTCCCACCTTTTGGTCAGTGGCTGAGCACTTTCTTTCTTTGCATCACCCAAAAATTAACTCAGCAGAAAACCCTAAAAACTAAGGCCCAGTATCCAAGTTTTCATTTCTATCAAATGCAGTCACAATGCTACAGGGACCCCAAAAGCTAGGCAACTAACCCCAAACCTTGCCCACGAGAGGACTCACACTGCATGCGTTGTTGGCCGTCTGAGCCGGGCTGTAGAAGGAGCCCCATGGGGCTGCTCTCCTCTCCTCCCGGGAAGGGGTACTGTTGAGGGGCAGGCCGGCGGGGAGTCCGGGGCCGGCACCCGCAGCACTGGCCGGCTGACTGCTGGGGGCCACCAGGGCAAAGGCGTCATCCAGGAGGGAATGCATGGTCTGGCGGGCCTCCTCGATGGATGGCTGGGGTGGGATGTACTGGGAGGCCGGGAAGGGCAAGCCGGGGTACCGTCCCAGCTCAGTCGAGGACGGCGTCTGAACTTCTGCCGGGAGGTCTGGATCAGACTAAAGGGTCAATACCAGAGAAAAGAGGAGTCAGGTGCATCCCAGGGGACTCAACAACCAAACTCCACGGAACAGAGCTGTCCAGAATGAGACTTCATGAACATCAAGGGAAAGAATCAAAACACAGCAAAAACAGGGGTAAACGTAGCTGACAATCATTTATCCAAGAAAATGCAACCATGTGCCACACAGTATCCGGAAACCCACATTTTTAAAAAAGATGTTTCAAATGATTGATACTAAAAAAAATCTAGTTAATCTCTTTAAATATAAACACCCAAAAGCAAAAGCTGTCTGTCGACTACTCATAGTAGAAAAGCATACACTTCCAGTGGAGTTCCAAGTCACCGTCCCATTACACTATGTAGGTCAGTGTGGGTGGGGGTGTGTATAAACAATCACAAGATCTATTATAACAACTACTTGTTGTTGTTAGGTGGTGTCCAGTCAGTTCTGACTCAGCCACCCCACGGACAACAGAACCCAACACTGCCCGGTCCTGCACTACTCTCACAATCGGTGCTATGTTCTGAGTCCATTATTGTAGCCATAAATGTGATCCAACAGAATGAGGACTGAGTGGGGAGTACAAGCGCCCCCTCTGCTTCTACACACAGGAGTCTGGAAGCCCGGGGTGACACAATAAGGGGGGAAAAAAGCCACCATCTTCAGGAGCCCAAGGTACAGCCTTCCCAGAAGGCAACAAACACCCCAGTGTGGAGAGAGGCAGGCCCAGAGCACACTGCACTGGAGCGCCATCTACTGTGCGGATGGCCAGCGCCATGTCCATCAGGAAAGGCAAAGCACAGCACAGCACTGTCAACCCAGCAGGGAAAGTGGCTGTTGTTGTTGTTAGGTGTCATCGAGTCAGTACCGACTCACTGCGACACTATGCAGCACAGCAGAATTAAACACTGCCCAATCCTGGGCCAACCTCACAACTGCTGCCACGCTTGAGCCCATTCATTGATGCAGCCACTTGGCCAATCCATCTCGTTGAGGGTCTTCCTCTTTCTCTCTGACCCTGCACCTTACCAAACATGATATCCTTCTCCAGAGAATGGTCCCTCCTGACAATATGTCCGAAGTATGAGAGACGAAGTTTGGCCAACCTGGCCTCCAAGGAGCACTCTGGCTGCACTTCTTCCAACACAGATCTGTCTGTTCTTTTGGCAGCCCATGGCACTTTCAATATTCTCCTCCAACACCATAACTCAAAAGCATCAATTCTTCTAAGGTCTTCCATATTCACTGTCCAGCTTTCGCATGCATATGAGATTATTGAAAATACCATGGCTTGAGTCAGGTGCACCTTAGTCCTCAAGCTGACATCTTTGCTCTTCAACATTTTAAAAAGATCTTGTGGAAAAGTAGCTAGTGGTCTTGAAATGGGCTCAGACACTAAAACCCAGGTGGCTGGCCACTCAAGGAAGAGCCTGGCTATTTCAGATAACATGACTGGTGTATATTTAGGCCCAGTGTAGCTAAGGCATTTGGCACTCGTTTGTGTAATTTGATGTTTGAGAGGGTTTCAAAACATTCATGGAAAGGGAATGATCCTTTCTCCACGAACTCTGTGAAGCTCCCTCATACTATCTTCCAGAATAAATTATCACAGTGACTTATAATATTATACATCGGTGCTGAAATGATTTAGGAAGTAATTGAGTCTTACATAGTTTAAGGAAAAAAGCGCAAACCTTAGGAAGGACCTGGAGAAGGACATCGTGTGTGGTAAAGTGGAAGGTCGACAATGAAGAGGAAGACCCTTAAGGAGGTGGGTTCAAATAGACCAATGGCTGTGAGAATGCTATAGGAGCAGGGAGCAGGTTCTGTGTGAGGGCTGCAATGAGCTGGAACTGACTGGACACCTAATTCCACCACCGCAAGTAAGACCGAATAACGTTCCTAGGGACACTGCACATCCCTCGGCAAGGTCTGTCCCCGCACAAGGGAAGGTACAGGACAACAGGGCAGGCCGCCCCATGAGGGCTGCAGGGGAACCTCTCCACATCTCTCCAGAGGCGCTCTCCTCTGCATGAGGGTCTCAGTTCTGCCTTTCCCATTTCAACCCCGTGCCCCCTTAGGCTTGAAAAATGTTTAATTCCTTATTTCTTCATTCTCATTAAGCTCAATCTTGTTCCCATTAATATATATATATATATACGTTAGCAAATGCCGTATCTTTACAGATAGTCAGAGATTCAACACCAAACAGGTATCAATATAGTCTAGAGACTATATGGCATATGGATCCCAATCTGTAGCTAGGTAGACAATACAAACTGACCTCATTCTGCTGCTGGGCTTCACAGACAGTGTGGTTTTTACAAATGGCAGGTATGCGGCAACCCTGTGTCAAGCAGCAGCACAGGCGCCATCCTTCCAACAGGTGCGCTCACCTGGTGTCTCTGCATGCAATTTTGGGCCTTCTCAAAGTATTTCAAAGTTTTTCATCATGCTATTGCACCCGTGTTAGACAACAGAAGAGTGTCCACATCACTTTACTTTGCACTTGGAATCCAAAACAAATTGTGTGAATTTCTTTAGTGTGGTGATCTAGACTTGAACCTGTATTCTCTCTGCGAGAAAACCTTGAACACGCCTCCTGCCACCAGGAAACACAGACAACCCTCTCAAAGGGTGGGAGGGTTACACAAGGGAACTTTCTGGGTGTTTCTTTCTTTTCCAACTATTCTCAGGACTTGCCCATTCCAAAGCCTGAGAACTGGGCTTGACTAGAGAAGGGAGAGCCCAGAGTTCTTCCCAGACCCCCTGAGTTGCAGCCCACTGGCCTAAGGCCCTGGAGCATTTGTGGGCCCTGGCCTTCGGTATTGTCAGTACACTGGACAGCAGCCAGTATTGTCTCAGCCCGTCTCCCACCCACGCACCTTCCCACCCATCTGACAAGGTACCCAAAGACTCACGGGGCACCCGAGATAGGCCGAGTTGTGGACACCAGGGGGCCGTTTGTAGGTGCCATCACTATCAGTGGTGATGAGTCTGTCCTTCTCAGCATCTGTGGGGCAGCCATTGACCTGGTGCTTCCGGCGTGGCTTAGGAGAACGCTTGATCCTGGAACTGTGGAGGAGATGAGTTAGCACCTCAGGAAGACATTTCCCACAGGTTCCCCACTACCATTGTCTTCTGGGTCAGCCCTTAATACCCATGAGGTGGGGACACCTGATCCACCGGGGCCATTGACAACAGCACAAGACCACAGCATGTCCCTGGGCTATTGGCAAAGGCGTTCCAAGGAGGGAGAGGGCAGGTGCGCTCTGTCACTGGCTGGAGGCTAAGACCAGGCCCCGAGGCTGCGGAGGGGTAGGCAGAGGACCTAAGGGGCAGGTCCCTCATGCCCACAGTCATGCAGGAATAGAGCTGGGATCCTGTGAGGAGGGAAGCAGGGAGGTCCTGGTAGGTGGGAGTCAGCTGGGATCAGAAGCAGGTACCCCCCAACCCCTGCACAGGAAAGCAGGTTCCAAGGGTCAGTCACTAAAGCCAGTGTGGTTATGAGCAGAGAAAGGCATGGGGGGATGAGAGAATATGGCCCTATGACAGGAGGTGGGAAGGAGGTGGGACCATGAAGAGAGAACGAGGGCAGAGGCATTAGTCTGGGCGATCCGTAGGGAAGGTGAGACTCTGGACTCAGAGTGGCCTGCAGGGACAGAGAGGAAGCGGTCAGCCAGGCTCCCATATGGGGGTGAAATTGTTGTTAGTTGCGGTTTGGTGGATCCCAACTCATGGCGACATCCTGCCAATGGGTCAGAACCAGCTGGGAGGTTCTAACCACAGCGTATGTGTCTGACTAGAACTGTGCCCAATGGCGTTTTCAGACTGAGTTTCTGGAAGCAGCATGCCTAGCCTTTCCGGCATTGCTGGGTGAATCCGACCTCTAGCCTCTCAGTTTGTACTCTGGCCAGTTGGATAACCCAGCGACTCCAAATGGAGTAAAAGACTGCCTGACTCTGCGCTATCCCATACTGGGCTGAGGATTGAACCATCATGAGCCACAGCATTTTCACTGGGTGATTTTCAGAAGCAGCTTGTCAGGCCGCCTTCCTCAACTGTCGTAATCTGGACGCTCTGCTGAAACTGCTCAGTATCACAGCAACACGCCAGCCTCCACTGACAGGCACCTGGGGCCACATGAGGTGAGGTGCCCAGAAAGGAACCCAGCTCTCCAGCATGCAAGGGAAAGATTCTACCTCTGAAGGTAAAGACACTGAGGACAGAAAGACGGTTGGGGGACATGGGAGGCGCTCGCTGGATGAGGAATGGGTGCCCACCATTTAACATACTGAATGTGAGATGAATGAAGTCCAGAGAGCTTGCCCGAAAACCAGGACAGCAAAGGGAGGTGCCGAGCCCACGACGGTGCGGCCAAGCCGGACAGGATGCCCCAGAGGCCTCCGCAGCCTCAGCCACACACCTTCTGAGTGTGGTAGCTTCTGCTTCACAATGAGCAGGCGCCCCTTGAGCCCCTGAACACAGGCACGAAGGCCATGGGGGACCCACCTTTTCCTGGGCTCGATGAACACAGAGGGCACGCTGGCCGTGGGGTCCAGGATCTTGTCGATCTGCATCTGCGCGCGCCGGTACACACGGTGGCGCTCACGCGTGTCCCCCGAGGACAGCTCGTCCACCACCGGAAACTCGTAGTGGCCGCGGCGCTTGGCGCGGAGCCGGATCTTGTTCCGATGGTGCTCGATCTCGGACTTGTGCCGCAGCGCAGTCTGAATCTGCCCAGGGGTAGGGCATCGAGTGGTGAGTGCAAACCCCCCATGTGTCCCTCCCCGCACCCCCCTGCCGGCTTCCACTTCCGTTTCTGCATCTGAGACCTGCCCCAGACTTTACTCCAACCCTGAAGAGCACTCCCGGTCCCCCCACCCCCACCCCCACCCCCAAGGCTGGGGAAGATAAAGCCTTTAAAATTGGTTTTCACTAGGGACTCTCTGTTGTTAGTTGCCGAATAGAACTGTTTCTAGGGGTTTCAAAGCTGGGATCTTTCAGAACCGGATTGCCAGGTCTGTCTTCCTAGGCTCTCTGGGAGGGTTCAGGTCACAAATCTTTAAGTTAGTGTTTGGGCAGACCATTTGTGCTGCCTAACGAGCCCTCGTGGCACTGTGGTTTAGGCATTCGGGCTAAACTATCCACAAGGCGGGTAGTTCAAATCCACCAGCCGCTCTGAGGGAGAAAGATGAGGGTGTTTGCTTCCGTAAAGATAGACAGTGGGTTTAGGGACCTTACCTGGCAGTTACCCAAATCCCAGCATCCCCAAAGGCAGGCGGGTATTCAACAAATACTATGTTGTCTGTACAGACAGCGTGACATGTGAGACGCATCGGTTAGGGGATGGGAAATGAAGTTTCCCAGGGGCCACCAGGGTCCACCCTGGCCAGCAGGCCCAATGAGAGCAGCCTGGTGCCTGTGGCTGACACTCAGACTAAAGTACTAAGTGCAGTCATTAAAGTAAGAGCATCTGTCATCACCTGGTCCTTAGGACCGTCCACTCGTGCACAGCCCTGAGCGAGTCAGAACTGGGCTTTCTAGGAGCACATTCTCTCATCAAGACAAGTACCTCCTTGTTAATCTTGTTGGTTTCTGCCACTCGGTCGCCCGGGGGAGGGTGCTGGGCAGGGGGAGCCGGGATTGGCTGCATGGCAATCAACTGGATCTTGCTGGGGACCCGGCGACTGGGCTCTGCCGTGTGGGCGATTCTGTCCACGTGCTCGAAGATGGAGGCGGACGAGTGCTGCTCAGGGCCCGAGCTGGGTGGGGGCGGCCCTGTTCAAGACGAGATGCAAACAAGTCTTCAGAATCAGGGTTTATTCCTAAGGGAATACAGTTTGCCAGACTCCAGGGGCAGAGCACGGAAACATCACTGAACCACTTGCTACTGAGTTGACTCAGAGCTCTTGTGTGTCTGCAAAGAACTGTCTAGGAGTAAGTACAGCCTAAATACTCATGGAAGGCAAGGTAGGCCAAGACCTAATCTCACATATTCTGGAGAAGGACATCATGCTTGGTAAGGTAGAGGGTCAACTTAAAAGAGGAAATCCGAACAAGATGGACTGGCACAGTGGCAGCAGCAATGGTTTCAAGCATAACAGTTTTGTAAGGATGGTACAGAACCAAGTAGTGGTTCGTTCTGTTGTGCACAGGGTCACTATGAGTCAGAACCAGCCTGAAGGCACTTAACAACAACCTGTGTGTCCGAACAGAACAGCGCTCGCGCCATTTTAATGGCTGAATTTTTTGGAAGCCAAATGTCAGGGCTTTCTTCCAAGGCACTGCTGGGTGGATTTGAACCCCTAACCTTTCAGTTAGCACTTAGCCATTTGGACCACCCAGAGGTTCCCAAACCTCAATGTTGTTGTGAAGAGTTGTCGACCTTGGATAGGGTTTCCGAGGCACATCTGGAGGGTCTGAACCGCCGACCTTGTGGTTAGCAGTCTAATGCTTATTCTGTAACACTATACTAGGACTCCCCAGAACCTCGCTATTTGAGCTTAAGTTGTTCTGGGTGAAATATAATCTCCTTCCGTCTCCTTGTTGAAAAGACATAATGAAATCATGATGACACTTTATGTGTCAAACTGATGCATTTGAGTCACGGTGTTGCAGGGCCATGGATGGCCAGTAAACAAATCAATCTGTGTTGGAAGAAATACAGCCAGAATGCTCCTTAGAAACCAGGATGGCCACACTTATCTCTCATACTTTGGATATCTTATCAGGAGGGACCAGCACCTGCTTGGTAAAGTGGAGGGTCAGAGAAAAAGAGCAAGGTCATTTAGATGGGCCAAAGTCCATTGAGGCTCCTTCTGAGTTCTGATAAGCCTCCCACCGTCCTCAGGGGCAGAAGGCAGGCCGGGCTGACATACATGGGATACAAGCCAATAGACACGAGATTCTTCTTCCTGCCTCTGTGTGGGTATAGGTGGAGGAGCCCTGCTGGCATGGTGGTTAAAGCATGTATCGGCTAACCGAAAGGTCGGCAGTTTAAACCCATCAGTTGCTCCATGGGAGAAAGATGAGACAGTTTGCTTCTGTGGTCATTCTCTGTCGTGTGGGGTCATTATGAGTCAGGATTGAACCAACAATGGGTTTTGATGTGTACGTGTTTAACTGTGGTACAAAATATGTCACAAAATGGTCCACTTGAACCATTTGTAAGTGTACAGTTCAGTGACGTTAGTTCCGTTCACCACGTTGCTCAACCATCCACCAGTTCCAGTTGTCATTGAATCAGTTCCGACTCATGTTGACCCCATGTGTGTCACTGCAGAACTGAGCACTGCATGTTTTGATGGTTCATAATCTAGAAGCAGAATGCAAGGCCTTTCTTCTGAGATGCCTACGGGCGAACTCAAACCTCGAAGCTTGTGATGACCTACAGGACACATTACTAAACAAAGGCTTCCAATTGTGTGGCTCATGACAAGCTATGGACAACATTGTGCTGTTGTTAAGTGCCATGGAGTCGGTTCCAACTCATAGCGACCCTGTACAGGGTTTCC